TAATTACTGTTCAGTCTGTGCATTTGAACTAAATAATAAGATGGTTTCTAATTTTTAAATCCTTTTTCATTTAGAATTAGTTTGATTTAATTAACATTTACCACTTGTTCCGTGGAAAATGTAGATTTCAATTCTATAGAATTGAATATAATTATACCAAATTTCATAAAATTAAGTGAAATTTATAAATAAATTCCACAAAATTAGGCAATAAATTTTTATGACAAACCTATCATTTTTCTTCTACAAAGTCAAATTTTCAATTTTTTTACATGTTTAACTCATTTATTTTATCAAATTTGATCAAAATCATTTAAAAGTATATATAATTTTTTAGAAAAATATTTTCTTATTATTATTTTTTTATTTTAATATTTTTCATCTTTTATTTTAATATTTCTTTACTATCAAGGATATGGATTCAATTTAAATATACATTTATCACTAAATTAAAATGTAATACTTTTGTTAATATTATTTTTATTTTATATACTTTTAATAAAAATATAAAAAATTATATAGCATAACATCAATATAATTAGTATTTATTATTTATTTTTGTGAAGTCAATATTTCAATAAGATTTTAGAAACAAAAGCAAATGAATTTTCAATTATAAATTTATTCCATACATGATTATGTGAATATTTCTTATTTTAATTTGGATGATGTTATAAATTGTTATTTACATAGCAAAACTTGTTAGCGGACAAAATTAGTCTTTGCATAAAAAATGGTGCTCCATTGCTCTCAATCCAAACCCAATAACGAAACTTTCCGTATTCATCCACAATATCTTAACTCTCCACTCTTTTCCGTTATCTTCTCCTTCTTCACCTTATAAAATCAAGTTTTAATTTTTCAATTATTTATTTATTTCTAGTTCTCTATTTATTCTGACCCTTAAGACCCATCAATCTATGCTTGTTTTTTCGGTAATCAGTTTCTAAGTCTAATTTTCTTTTCTAATCCTGCCCATTTGCAATCAAAATTTGAAACTATTAATTTAATCTGCAAAACATATTGCTTTTTGATTTTTAAATAACCTGAGATAAGAGAAATATTGCATTTGGTTACAAGATTCAAAAATATTGAAATTGGATCGAAAATGGTGGGATTTAGAAGAATCTATGGTGTTTAATATTACCAAAATATTCGCAATAATTGGTACCTTTAAGGATAAAAGAAATCATCAACTTTTAGAAAGAGAAAATGGATTTGTCAAAACCAAATCTAGAAAGGATAAGGAAGCAAAATATGAGATTTTTTGAACTCTAGCATTACAGTAAAAACTTGGATAGTTTTACATTGATGAAGATTCATCAGAGCTTAAGTGAAGTAATGTAAAGATGAGATAAGTAAAAGGAATATAAAGGGTAATTTTGTCTATTAATAGATTTTGCTCTGCTAATAACAATTTAAGCTCTGAAAATAACACCACCCTTTAATTTTTAAGATTAATATTTCTTATTTTAACTTGTTGGATAAATAAAAATTAATTTATATATTAAAATAATATTTAATAGATATTTTCTTATTTTTATATTATATAAATAAAAACATCACATAAATTTAGTAATTAATTTTTATAGATTAATAAAGTCTTAATATGGATAAATACGAATCAATTAATAAGTTACCAGAAAAAAGTTTTAAAATGTAACTAATGAAATCAATAATGGATAATTATTAGTTGTTTGATAATTCTTACCAAACACCGATAGTACAATTATTTGGTACAAAATCAACTAACATTTGTATGAAACAGCCAATCCGAATCAAATGTACTTTTAATTTTTTTTCATTCAAAAATGATATTTTTACTTTTAAATAAGAGATTAAATATATTAAATGTAAGAGAATAAATATAACATTATACTAAATGTTAAAGACCATATTCCGATTCATCATCTTGTACATAGTATTATCTAAGGGGCAATTCATCATTTAATTTATTGATAATTATATTAAATTTCGAGCCTAATCACATTTATACTATTCTTACAATGTGTATATATTTAATTATGGGCACACATAATTAAATGTATATACCATTTATAGATCCATACACACATACCATGTTAGAGATTAAGTAGTATCTAAAGTGACAAATATAGTAATTATAAACCCAATCCTATGGATTATATATGGAAACCATATGATATGTAATAAATTTCAAATTTAAAAATTAGGACATCACTTGTTAAAATAACTTTACAATATAATGTGTTTAGCGCAATCCATGGTAAAGTCGCAATCAATAAAGTCTCATTTTCAAAATTCGTTTAATAAAAAATTATACTATTTTTTCTAACCGTTGTAAATGTAAAAAACACTATATTTTTATCTTTTATTATACAATTCTAATATAGCTATTACAATAATTAGAATAGGAAATAATCTTAGAGATAGAGTCAAGGGCTTGATTCTAGGATCAAATCACGATCATCAAACCATGCTTCTTTCCTTAAATGACCTCTTCCATCTGATGAGTTGGAATAAATGACACCCAACTTGCCAAGAACCTCATCAAAGACTCGTCCTGATACAGCCTTTGTCAGAATGTCTGCCAGTTGCTCATTTGATCTCACAAATGGGAGACTAATAATTCCTTCTTCGAGCTTCTCTTTGATGAAGTGTCTATCAACTTCAACGTGCTTAGTGCGACCATGTTGCACTGGATTCTCCGAAATGCTAATTGTGGCTCTGTTATTACACATCAATTGACAAGTGCTTCGAACTGGAAAACCAATCTCTACTAATAATTTCCTTAGCCACAATACTTCGGTCAATCCACGAGCTATCCCTCTAAACTCAGCTTCAGCACTTGAGAGAGCCACCACCTTCTATTTCTTACTTCTCCAAGTCACTAGATTGCCTCCAACTAGAGTAAAGTAACCTAATGTTGACCTCCTATCTACAGGATTTCCTACCTAATCCGCATTAGTATATCCTTGGATATCTAAGTGGCCATGCTTCTGAAATAACACTCCTTTCCCTAGTGAACCCTTCAAGTACCTTACAACTCGTAGAGCTGCCTCCATGTGTTCCTTCTGAGGCTTATACATGAATTGGCTAATGACTCCAACTGCATAAGCTATATCTGGCCGAGTATGTGAAAGATATATCAATTTTCCCACCAGGTGTTAGTATTGTTCTCTGTCAGCCGATTCTGCTCTATCGATTATCTGTAGCCCATGATTCACAATCATAGGTGTCTCAGCTTGTCTCCAGTCCACTAGACCAGTCTCAGCTAGTAGATCCAAAATTTATTTTCTCTGTGAAATGAAAATGCCCCTTTTTGACCTTAGTACCTTAATCCCAAGAAAGCACTTCAGTCCTCCTAGGTCTTTCATCTCAAACTCCTAAAACAACTGATCTCTGAGCTTTTTAATTTCTGAAGTGTCACTTCCGGTGATGATCTTATCATCTACATATATGATTAGAAATGTCACCAAATCTCCCCTTTTCTTCAAGAACAGGGTATGGTCGGAGTTACTCTGCCTGTACCCGTACTTCTTCATAGCTATAGTGAATCTTCCAACCACGGCCTCGGAGACTGTTCAACCCATATAGTGCCTTTTTTTAGTCTATAGACCTCATTCTTCTGGAAACTGTCTGAAAAACCTGGTGGAGCCTCCATATATACTTCCTCCTTGAGATCTCTATGGAGAAAAGCATTTTTTATATCAAATTGGTGTAATGGCCAATCCAGGTTTGCTGCCACAGAGAAGAGCACTCGAATAGCATCAATCTTGGCTACTGGAGAGAAGGTCTTAGAATAATCAATCCCATATGTCTGAGTATAGCCCTTGGCTACCAGTCGAGCCTTAAATCGCTCTACTGTCCCATCTGCTTAGTGTTTCACAATGTACACCCATCGGCACCTAACAGCCCTTTTTCCTGCAGGCAACTGGCACTTTTCCCATGTCCCATTTCTTTTTAATACATGCATTTCAATTTTCATAGCTTGTCTCCATTTTGTGAATACCTTGGCTTTCTCTGATAGACTCCCCCTAGCCAAATTGGTCATGGGATATCTTGACGCCCGTGGTTCATATTCTGGATCATACTGCTTTGGTGGTACACCACGAGTACTCCTAGGGGGTAAGACATATTTCTCCTGTGCCTCTACTACAATCACTTCCGGAACTACATTTTCGTTAGAACATTCTACAGCGAAAGCAGATTCAGAATGTAATTCCGGATCAGAGATACTTACCTCAGAATTATCAGGTGAGGAGTCAGATTGAGCGTCACCTAGCTCAGCAGACTGTCCTGTGTTTTCAAGTACCAGCTCAGTGGTATCACCTACTATTTCTTGTGGGACATTGACAAGTAAGACTGGGCCGATCAACCAACTCAATGGATCCATACTGGTAAGCTCCCCCTGATCACTGGGTTGGGATGAATAGAAGTACTCGGTTTCAAGGAAGTCACAGTCCATGGTAGTGTGCATGTGACGGGTAACTGGGTTATAGCAACGATAACCCTTCTTATGGACCTCGTACCCAACAAAGACACACTTAAATGAATAGGGCTCAAACTTGGTGCGCTCTGCCTTAGGAATATGAATAAAGACAGAGCACCCAACCACATGAGGTTGTAAGGTGAGTATTTCTGCTATAGGAACATCAGAAGTAAAAGTTTGGAGTGGGGTTTTAAGGTCAAGAATTTTAGTAAGCGAACAATTAATCAGGTATGTAGTAGTGGCTATAGCTTCAGGACAAAAATGCTTTGGAACTCGAGACTCAATCATAAGGGCTCGGGTGATTTCAAGAAGTAACTGATTGTTTCATTCAGCCACCCCATTTTGCTGTGTTGTGTGGGAACATTTAGTCTGATGGATCAATCCTTTTTCCCGAAAAAAAAGTCTGCAAAGTACTATTGATGTATTCCCCCATTGTCATATCTAAGAATCGTAATTTCTTTCTGATACTGGGTTTGGACCAGATTATAAAACTCAATAAATTTTTGGGGAACTTCAGACTTATGCTTTAAAAAATACACTCAAGTCATACGAGTGCAATCATCTATAAAAAGAAGGAAATATCGAAAAATACTGTTTGCAGAATCCGGGGTAGGACCCCAAACATCAGAATGAACTAGAGTAAAGATAGTAGAGTTCCTGGTAGTACTAGGATGAAAAGTTTGTCTATGACTCTTAGCTAACAAACAAGTCTCACATGAAAAATGACTCTGATTATTAAAAATTTGAGGAAATAGAAGTTTTAAATAACTGGTCGAGGGGTGTCCCAATCGTCGGTGCCACAACTAAGCCTGTAGGTCAATTGTCCCATGAGCTAGCATTGTGATCCCCTGATGAGCCACCTCGTCAACATAGTAGAGTCCGCCTCATTCAGTGCCATGCCCAATAATATTCCCTGTCCTGATATCCTGTAATAAGAAAAAGTAGAATAGATTAGTACTATACAGTTTAACTCCTTCGTCACATGACTAATAGCTAACAATTTGCAAGACAAAGACGAGACATATAGACATTTTGTTAACTTAAGCATGGGTGACAACTTAATTGACCCTGCTCCCCATACTGGTGTCAAACCACCATTAGCTGTCTGAATATAATCCTTAGTAGGGATTGTAGAGGTAATAAGATCTGATGAATCATAGGTCATAGTATCAATGGCACCACAATCAAATAACCATTCTCCACTTTTTTCATTCCCAGAACCCTGAGTAGCATATACCCGGCTCCCTCTTTCAATTTGACCCCAATTGACCCCTTTTCCTTCCTTTTCTCTCTTTTTATTTTTTTTATTTCTTTGTTTTTTTCTAGGGTGATTTTGACAATTCACAATTCCAGGAGGACTATACTGGTTAACTTCTAAAAATGAGGGACTTTCTTATAATTTTTCAAAAATAATAGGGCCAGATTCATAATATCCAAAACATCTATGGGAAAAATATTGAGGATTAAATATTAAGGGGCTTAAAGACAATTTTTTTGTCTTCAAACCCTATACCTGCAATCCGTTCCTTTTTGTCCTCTCGCGACCCTTCTTGAGCGGCGGTGGTGGTTGCACAGAACTAGTGCCGATCGTTGCCGTCGCTGCTGGGTTACCCACAGCAGTAGCGACCTTGGCGCCTTGGTTTTTGTCCCCTTGCCCTGCTTGCTGAGTGGCTGCAATGGCTGCAAAGCCTTGATGCTAGTCATTGTCGTCGCCGCCAGCAGCACCCTGTATACCCACTGCAGTTGCGACCTTAGTGCCGTACTTCCTGTTCCCTGGCCACCACTCGGGATATCCAATAAGCTTGAACCAACCCTCCTTGGTGTGTTTGCTTCCTCCATAGTGTGAGCACTTGAGTCGCGATTTGTCTATCGCCTTCATCTGTGGTGATGATTTTGCCACTGTTTTGGGCGTATCTGACTGGAATTTTGCCACCAACCCACTGCCAACACCTGAGGGAGATTCTCCCGGTGACAGTTGGCCTCCAATTTATGTCCCGCTTATGATTCCCAATCGGCCTGCCTCCCTTTGAATATTTGCACAGGCTTTTTCAACTGTTGGGAAAGGTGCTTCTCTGAGGAGGTATTTTCGGTCGGAATCAAAGCGATCGTTCAAGCCAGCCAAAAATTGGAACAATCATTCCTCTTGCCGGAGACGGTTGAACGTTGTTATATCTAGTGGAGAAACCATAGGATTGGGTTGTCTTCAATCAATTTCTCTCCAAATTCTCTGCAAATTACTGTAATACTGTTCAATCATCGAATCTTTCCTTGTTTTTGATTGTTCGCCTGTACTGTTAAATCAAACAGTTGAAAGGAATCTCTCCCACTGTCATATGTTTCTGCCAAGCCTTCCCACAAGGCTTTTGCTGTCGGATACTCAACATAATTATTAACCAAGTGTTCTTCAATGTTGTTGATGATCCAAGAGCAGGCGTTGAGATCTGCTTGCTCCCATTTTGTGTATGCAATGTTCTGTTTCTCCAATGGTGCTGGGTTTCCGGTGATGTGATGTAGGTGGTTTCTCCCTTCGATAGCCATCCGCATTAACTGGGCCCAAAGTGCGTAGTTGAAATCATTCAGTTTTACACTGATTGAAATATGTTGTGGGCTACTACTTTCGGTTTGACGGGTATTTATTTGGGTGGAAGTAATATGTTTAAGGAGAGTTATCAATTGGTTTGACAGGTTTTCAGGTGTTTGTGTTTCCTCTGACTCTGCCAGATCTCCGACAGTGTTCTGTGCTTCGCTCATGGAATTAAACGGTAGATGATGAGTTATGACTCGGTCACTAGAACCGTTCACTACTCTGATACCATGTTGTAAATGTAAAAAACTCTATATTTTTATCTTTTATTATATGATTCTTATATAGCTATTACAATAGTTAGAATAGGAAATAATCTTAGAGATAGGGTCAAAGGCTTGATTCTACGATCAAATCACAACCCTCAAACCATGTTTCTTTCCTTAATTCTAACACTAACCTATATGGTTAGTAATAATTGTACCATTTTCAAAATTACTATATATATCAGACTAGCATCCTAGTAGCGACTCTTCTCGGCAAGGACAAGTTGGTTTTTTGTTCCCACGTGTGGTGCCCTGCTTGCTGGTCTAGTAGGTAAGGTGCCTAGGATGAATAATAGGTTCTGCAAAGCTCCGATGCTAAGTACTTAATTTTGGTCACGTACACGCGCCGCCAGCAGCTACCCTGTCTGATACCCTATACCCACTGACACGTAATTAAGTGGCTGAACCTTAGTAGGTGCCGCATTAACATTCCATGATATTCCCTAATTGCCACCACTGCGGGATATCCAATAAGCTTGAACCAACCCCTCCACTATACGGAGTGTGATGCCTTTTCACTCCCATAGTGTGAGCAAACGTGTGTGCAGTTCGGGGAGCAGTTATTTGGTCATATCGCCTTAAACACTACTGCCCCTTCGATTTTGGAAAGTGTATGTGTCTTTGGTATGTTTATGGTTTTTTGCCATTCTTGCCTTCCTTGGGACGAATTCGGTGACCAAACTATCGAGAATTATTGACCATATCGCAACTTCCATCTTTGTCCTCACACAACTGAGTTGGTCAAGACTTCTTTGCGCCGGCAAACCATGGAACTTAAATCTTTTCGGTTGACATGTATTTGGGCACTACACAATTTAAGGATGACGAGGTTAAAGTCGCGCTTAAGATTTTCGCAAGTCGGCCCTGCCGATCCTGTTGAATAATCTCTGACACAAGGTCTTTTCTTTTCATAACTCTCTTGGGAAAATATGGCCGGTGGGCCTTATTTCATACTTCCAAGAGGGCGTAGGGAAAGTCGAACGAAGAATATTTCTTAAGCATGTCATAGTTCATCAGGTCGATCAGTTCAAGTGCCATACTCAAAGAATATTAGGGAACAATCATGTCCTCGCCGGAGAGTCATACAGGTTAAATGTTCCAAATTGCTGATCGTCCCACAATATTGATGGTTAACAGACACAGTACACCAATGACGTATAACCCATAGGAATTGAGAGAGTTTGTCTTTCAATCAATAGTCTAACTCCAAATCTTCTGACTAAAATATATCAATTACCTGTAATACTTTCAACATCGAAATCTTATCCTTATGTTTATGATCAATGACTGTGGTACGCTCCTTCACTGTATACTTAGCCTAAAAATACAAACGATGTTGAAAGGCGAACTCTAACCTAGCTGTCATATGTTCTCTCTCCTAATCCCTCACACACAAGCTATTTGACTGACATCTTCTATCGTGTCGTATACTATATCAAACGAGTGTAGACATTTATTAACCAAGTTGTTATATCTTCAACCTTCTGTTGACACTGATCCCACCACAAGAAGAGTACCCAGGCGAATTTGAAGATCTGTCTTTCGCTATCCCCTCCATTTTGTGCTTATTTGCATTTATGTCCTTCCTTTATCTCCAAAAGTGCTCATCTGAACCTCCCTTACTTCTTTTCAATCGGAGTGCAATTTCTTCCTTGCATCACAGTCATTATGGCCTCAGACCCAGACAGCGTGGTCCCACTGATACCTATTTAGTTCTGTTTAGTCTCACCTTCCTTTACCACACCTTGTAAAACTCATTCAAACGGTAGAGTAGTACCCACACATGGTATGGTCTGGTTAGTGTACAGGTGTGTTAGATCTTTTCATCTCTTTTGCTATGATTCGTGCTTGGGTGCTTTCCTATTCGTTATGATGTGATGTAGGTTGGTCTTTCATCGACTTTCGTATATGCAAAGTCCGCTAATGTTACTAACTATATGGGACGTCTCCACAACTGCAGTAGGAATTAGAGATATTCAATGACTTTTTACATTTCTGATTTGAAATTATGTAGTTGTTAACCTCACTATACTTATCGGCGATGGGTATTGACGAGCTTGGGATCTTTAATTATATATTGGCGTGTGGAATCAATAGGCTAAGATTATTAATGTCTTAAGTGAGAGTTATCAACTTGTTTCGACAGTGTTTCAAGGGGAAATGTTTGATGTTTGGTCCTCCATAGTATCCTGTCATGACAAGTATGTCATATCTCGACAGTGTTCTGTGCTTCGCTCATGGATTAAGATTAATAACTTGCCGCTATAAGTATGATCTCTGAGTTATTGAACGAACCTTTGTCACTATTGATAACCGCAGGATTCACTACTCTTTTCGATTATTTCTTAGAATTTCAGACTTTACATCTTTCCAAACAGAGTGTGGTATAATGCGTAAAAAATATCACATACAAATTAATTTTCTATCTTTTATCATATATTACCATAATATATAGCTTCTTACAAATAAGTGATCCTTGTAATAAAGTGAACATACATAATCTTAGAGATAGGGTTCAAAGGTCTTGATCTACGATCAAAATCACAAACCCTTCAATAAACCAATGTTAATACATAGTTCCTTTAATTCTTAACATCGTAAAACATAGTTATAGGTATCTTATCTAATAATATTTACCAAATTTCAAAAATATGCACATCCTATTCATAATAATTAGTGATACATAACATGAGCCATAATTAATTTATATATCAATAACTTATTTCTGAAATTTATTATCTAGTATTATATAAGATAACTACTTATTAGTCCATATCGGTCTAGATGATGTAGATCTTTCTAACCTATAAGGCTGTAACTACACAAAACATCTTATGTTGTTTCTATTAAGTGTTATTAAATACAGTATTATAGGTTTCAATATGATTTTGTTATTAGACAATCATTTATCTCCAAAGTTATCTCTAATTTACATAATTATAGTGGCGTTACAATGTAGAATTAACTTTTAATGTCGCGTTATGTTGTTATCTGTGTTCGTTTGTAACTTATATACAATTACACTGCAACTATATAGTCATACTAGATGAGATGTCTTTCTAACCTATATGAACTACATTTTTTTTTAGTATTATTTTCATTGTTTTTTAGAATATTATCCATTTCTCTAACATTAATTTTAGTCGTTATGTAAATTTTGTAGTTTTGTTGTTATTTTGTTGTAACTTAAAATAATTGCAACTTAAAATGATCTTAAATGAACTTTAAATTTCACTATTATTAATTTTCGTTATACAATTAATTATCTTTTAACAATTTTTAATTGCATTTTCTATTTTTCTAATATTGTTTTTAGTTATTACCAATAATATGTTAATATTTTTGGAGTTTTTTGTTTTTTTGGGATAGTAAGCTTTAATAGTTTGGGGTTTTTACAAATATAATCGTTTTAGGGTAGTTGTCCACAAATATAGGTCATTTTAAGAATATTAAAGAGTAATTAATAAATTTTTTTCAACTTTATATATGTTGACACATTAATTATTAATAATGCGAGATAAATGATAATTTAATCAAATAATTGAACTTTTTGTATAATCTAGGAGAATTAATTATTTTCTTAAACTTCATGCAAAAATTTTAAATGATTTATATTTGTGAACGTATGGAATAATAAAATTAATCATTTTGTTTTTCCCTCCTCATATATATTATGTGATTTTATACATGTAATTTTTAATTTCTTGGTATGATATACTCCCTCCATCCCATGTCTTGGCCTAGTTTTATATAAATTAAGAAAAACTTCATAATATAGTTAAATTATATTCTTTGTTTAGCTTTTTTCTAAAATACATTCTGCTAATGATTGTGGTATATACAATTGGGAATAAAGATGTATATTAAACGGAGTATATATTAAACAATGAATGATTTTCTAGAAGAGGAACAGAAAATACATTTTGAAACAAACGAAAAAAGGAAAGTAGGTGAATTTCATTTTATTTGATAATAATTATACTAATATAAGCATCATTGCAAGAGTACAAATTGAAGACAATAAAGAAAGGTAGGAAATGTTTCAGGATAATTATTGAAGACAATAGAAAAAAGTGGGAAATGTTTTAGCTACGAGCAAATCCCGTTATTTATTGAGGGAGCTTATTAAATTTTCGGATTCGGTATTCTGCATAGGTTTTCGTGGTGTATTTTGGTGGATTTTTATCGTCCAAAAGCTGTGGAAGAGGTCCGATCAACGCCTCATGCGGCGGTGCAATAAACACTGCCCATGACATGCGCGTGCTTTCCTTATTCACTAAACTTCTGTGTAGAACGCTTTTGTATTTTCCATTGCTTAGCACCTGAAAATCAAGAAAGCCTAACCCTCGTCACATGTTTAAACTTGGACGTTCATTTAGCTAAATAAAATAAATTAATGTTGCTTAATTATAATTAATCAATTGAGTACCTGGAGCTGGTCTCCAACATGTACAAGGAGAGCATTAGGAAGGTTATGAACAGCAACCCAGTTGCCATCTTTCCAAACCTGAAGACCTGGAATATGGTTAGGTACAAGAATGGTGAGTGCAGACATGTCTGTGTGAGGTTCAACTCCAAGTGCCAATTCAGGTTGCGGACATGGTGGGTACATATTGATTTTCATTTCTAGCTCTATATCTTCTCCTCCCAAATGGGACTTTAATGTCTTCTCTTCCAAACCCAACCCTTTTGAGAGCAGCTTCAACAGCTCATCTGTAATTCTCAGCATTTCCTCTTTGTATTTTTCATTCACTTCCCTATAAATGTACGAGATCATCAATAATAGATTATATATATACATATAATTTCCTTAATTGGTTATTATTAAAACAAATACCTGATTGAATGAGACGGGTTAGTCGGTCTCTGGTGATAGGATTCGGATACAGTGGTTTACAAAAAAAAAAAAAAAAAAAAAAAAAAAAAAAAAAAAAAAAAAAAAAAAAGCAAAACCCAAGTTGGCTCACTTTCCAAAATCTCTAGAAGACCTGGAATATGGATTAAAGGTAACAAAGCATTTTCACCTAAAAAATGGTTTGAGTGCCAAGACATGTAACTCGTGTTTGAGGGTTTCAAACTCCAAGCTCGTCTCAATTTCAGGTTGCCGAGACATATGAGTAGAGAAGCGTTACCAACTTTGAATTATATTCAATTCAATAAGCCTCGGCTATATCTATTCTGGCCTTCCCATATTAATTGGGACTTAAAGTGTCTTCTCTTCCAAACCCAACCCCTTTGATTGAGCAGAGCTTTCACCAGACTAGCACTCTGGTAATTACTTCAGCATTTAATTTTCACCTCTTATGTAGTATTTTCCATTCACTTCCCTATAAACGTCAATACGAGTCTCACTCAATAATAGATTAATATTTTATGAAAAGAAGCAAAGAAAAGGTAATACAATAATAAATTTGCCAAATTATTATTGAGTTATTATTAAAGGACCAAATACCTCGATTAATATGAGAACGGGTTAGTATATCACTCTGGTCTCTGGTGATAGGATGTGCGTATACATGCGTTTACAAAAAAAAAGGAAAAAAAAACAGAAAAAAAGAAAACAAAAAAAAAAATATTACATAAAAAAACTAAATTAGCATAACTTAAGTGTACATTGGCAAATTACCATTAATAATAGATTTTTATGTACTACTTTAATTATAAAAGACAATGATTCATAGTTAGATAAAAAACACAATTAGACTAATGCCAAAAACAAAAATAGTAATGGGATAATAAAAAAAAAAAAAAAAAAAAAAAAAAAAAAAAAAAAAAAAAAAACAAATACATACTTGATTGAATTACCATTAATAATAGATTTTTATGTACTACTTTATATAAAAACAATGATTATAGTTAGATAAAAACAACTAATGCTAAAACAAAAATATATGGGTATTAGCTAATCCAGATATTGTATGTAATCCTTAGAGCTTTGCTTTCCTTCTTTATAAAAAAAAACTAATGCTAAAACAAATATATATGTTTATATTATTATTTATGTTACCCAAAAGTGCGATCTTTTTCATATTTGCCAAACAACCAAAAAATAGAAGGGAAAGTACAAAATTTAGAAAAAAATCTATAGATTTATAATTTTTTTAGCATATATCAAGAACGGTTGAAAAGAAAGAGAGATCGATGCTGAAATTTGAATCTTTTATTGATTGAATTACCTATAAGGAGGAGGATATTTGGGCCATATATCATAATTAACCCGAGAAGTAGGAGCCACAAGATGAAAAAAATAATCAATCCACTCTATCTTTTCTTCATGGTTCTTTGTCATCTTGGTACCATACCCTTCAAATTTCCCTCTGCTAGGGTCATTTGCGTAGGACTCTTTCTCCTCTTGTGGCAATTCAAAGAACTCTTGTCCCACTTCTTGCAGCTGTTGAATCAAAGAAGATGGTATTCCATGATCTATGACCATAAAAAAACCCCATTCACTACTTGCTTTAAAGACATCATTGACTAGAACATCATGTGGCTGTGACAAGGAAATCACCGGCACTGTCACCCCTTCGATGGCTATGGTGTTGCCCGGTCGTTCATGGATTGAGCGGATAAATTGGAGTGGAAGTTCCTGAAGCCCGCCTTTCGATAGAACTTGCACTCTCTCTATCTCCATTGCTAGTCAGTTATATTTTTTCGTTCTTGTGTTGAGCAGAAGGAGAAGATATATGAAGCAATAAATGAGTACAGGGGTGCATTTTAGTAATTGACTACATATTTTGTTATATAACAGGACATTTAATTAACAATTTTCTTTTTTTTTTTTTAGTATTGGTAAGGGGATTCAAATCTAAGCCTATGATCAGGTCGTATATACACTTACTACTAGTCTATATATGTCTTGATGCGCTAATCAATAATTATTTGACATGAGTGATTCGACACTCTTTTACTGATGAAACTAATATAATTTTAATAAAAAAATAATAAAAAGAGAGATAAATAATAAGAAATGCAGCACTAATTTTTTAGTGCGACGATGAGAATTAGTAGATAGCTAGCTAGCTATTGAAAAGATTGAAAGAGATGATTGAAAGAGCAGTGAATTAGAAATGGTGAAATTTATAGAGATTGAAAGAGATGATTGATAAGAGTAGAATTCATTAATTTATTTTATTTTAAAATTAATATAAAAAATAGTCATTTATATTATTAAAATTCATGAAGTAAAGCATACAAATCATGGTTTAATATATTATTAATTCTCTAACTTTATAAATAGTTAATTATATTTAAGAAGATTTAGTTCACTAAATAAAAAATTATAAATTTAATTTATTTTTAATAATTTATTTTAAAAGTAATATAAAAAATAACTGTCTAAATTATTAAAATTTATAAAGTAAAAATAATCATCCATATCATTAAAATTTAAAAAAAAGTAACTTATTCATGTCATTAAAAGTTATATTAATTGTCATTTAATATGTTACTAATTCTCAAACGGAATAATTTATTATTAAAATTTAAAAACAAATGAAAGAAAGAAAGAAAGAGAGAGAGAGAGAGAGAGAGAGAAATCAATCAATCAATCATGTGCGAAGCGGGACTCACAACATATTACTTATAGCATTGATTAATAATTTGAATTGTGACACTGCTAATTTGATGTGTGATATTTTTTATTTTAGCATATTGAAACTATTTTAAAAAATATGAAGCTATTATAATTGCAAACCTAAACTTCCTACTTTTCGCAATTAAGAAACCTTTAAATGCCAAATTTATTAGGCAAATGGCAACATTGATTATCAATATTTTTAAAACATAATTTTTTGATTAATTATTGTGATTAGTTTGTAAACCCTTGTTTGATGCACTTTGTGTATATATAGTTGGCGGCTTAAAAAATACTAATTATAGCAACTTTAATTATTTAAGTTTTTTTATAGGAATTATTTCATCATTTGTATATTGAAAGAATTTATAAAATTAAAATTAAAAAATTTAGATTTAAGCCATTCTCAAGTATATCTATATGGTCTAATTGCTATGTTAGTTCATTGGGTCCATGTATTTTTTTTTTTTTTTTTCTAAAAACTGTTTCTCCCTCATTTCTTTCTACCACACATTGTGGTGATAGCAGCAAGTTCAATATCATACCCATATTATGTGGTTAATTGCACATTGGATAAATTTATATTGAGTAATTAACATATAATAAGAAGGATGAACCAATTAAAAAGGCCTAGACCGTTTTGTGTTAAAGGTAAGTTCAACTCTTTAAAAATTTAAAATATTAAATATATAGTTAATAGTTAATTGAATTTGATCAATTTACCTTAGGGTCACCGTATAGATTTTTAACAACTAAACTATATAGAAAATAATTATATAGTATCACATAGGAAGTATCTTCATGCTATTGGTTTTCTCAAACAAATATCATTTTTGTTTTTCAAAATCCCACATAGATCGTGATAAGAAACTGCCTCTTCCTCTCTCCCTTTCTCTATTGAAATTTTCTTTCCTTTTCTACATGTAAACACAAAATCAAGCATCTAGATACAGGAAAAAGCCGATTCTTATCTCTTATGACAGCCCTCCTCATATTTTTAGTTTTTTTGCAAGTTTTTATATTTTTCTGTTAAATAAATTACAAATCTATGTCTATTCAGGCATAGATTTATATTATTTATATTTTTGTTATTTTTTGTAATTTATCTCCATCTTATGTGTAGTTTAAGATCTCCCCATTTTATGTGGAGTATTTATTTTATTTTTTACATTTGTTTGGTTTTATTTAGCATGTGTTCAATTTCGAAGAATATTTCAACTACATGATGATTTTTGTCTTTTGGAACTTAGTAATGCGGCATGTTCATCCATTGGAATTAATGGTTCAAATCATCTGCGTTCGTTATAAACAACAAATTCATAAATAATTATGCTATGTATATAAGATTTAAAAAGTTTGTCTAATCAGCTACTTTTGAAAATCCATTAGTTTTTTAAAGTTCACCTCCCAATTTCCATTAAGATTTTTTATTAGATCAGCGAACAATAATTACTTTAGTTATAATAATTTTTATTCTATATCTCGTATTAATTTAAAAATTTTTTAATAAAATCCTAATATATTATATTCAAAAAGAAAAACATAGATGATAATAAATTCTCCATGACTCAAAATTTTTTAATTGTGACATGTTACATCCATGCTTGAGCTTTAACCCTAATGATTCTTTAATCTTTAATTATCTTAGGTGCAACTTGCTTGTTTCTTTTGTTGAAATATTCTTCACGTCAATAATTTAATTATCTGATCTTAATCAAGATCTCCATCTTAATTTAAGATACCACAAATTTAAAATCTTCTTAATATTACACATCACCTTTTTCATATGAAAGTAATTCTATAAAAAGAGAGAATTAAATTGATATTATTTATATTGAGTAAAATTGTCTATTTTAGTCTTTCAGCAAAATATTATAATAATCAATAAAAGAAATCCATTCAGATACTTAGTTTATATTTGATAAATTAATATGTTTATCTGACAAAAATGTATTTAATTGCAACTCTTTTTATCAGTTTAGATATTCAATATAAATTTTTTCATTCTAACACCAAAATAAAAATTGGCTTGACAGGATGGCCAATGCCAAGCTGCCAATTGCTAATCTTGGATAATGGGATTGAACCCTAGATTCAACTGGGTCACCATCTGCTGGCCCATACAAATAATAAAAAGAAGAATCATTTTCAAGAACCAACCAGTCAATCCTAACACTTAACTGCATTTAAACCATACAACAAGGGGACCATGAAAAAAGAAGAATCATTTTCAAGAACCAACCAGTCAATCCTAACACTTAACTGCATTTAAACCATACAACAAGGGGACCATGAAAAAAGAAGAATCATTTTCAAGAACCAACCAGTCAATCCTAACACTTAACTGCATTTAAACCATACAACAAGGGGACCATGAAATTGAATATTGTTAGTGGAGTCTTCGCTTAACAAACTAACTGTTGGGTGAAGAAATCACTATTTTCCGCCTTGTCCGACGACGGCGTTGAAGTAGGTCTATAACCAATGAGAACAAAATAAAAATAATGACCTGATGAAAATTAAGAGACATAATTAACACACGAAATTTAACAAGTGGAAAACTCCCCAAGTGGAGAAAAAATCACGGCCGTTGCCTTGGATTGTCGGGTGGCATCCGCAGCCGAGAACGAAAAAACCCAAGGAAAAATAATTCGAGAACCGGTCAGGAAGGAATCTTTGTTTACATGGGATCCACAATTAGTTACAACCACAATTACAAAATATTTTTCTTCCCGACACCCTCAAAACACCCCAAATATTTTATACTCCAAGGGACTTCAAAAGACTTGCTTTAAATTCCTAATATAAAACACATTTAAGTGTTTTTAGTGTGTTTTGGTGTGTTTAGAAACCTAAACATTAACTTCCTTTTATAGCCAATTCAAACACTCTCAAATTGGCTTCCTTTTATAGCCAATTCAAACACCCTCAAAACTCAATCTCCCTGATGTGGGATTGAGCACAACCAATTTTTTATATTTTTTTTTCTTCTGTTTTCAACCAAGGCGACTAACAATCTCCACCTTCAAAATAAAATTTTAAAAAAACACGACATTGTCTACTACTGACAATCATAATTCTTATGTCAAGAATTATCATACTCCACCATAAAAGAGTATCGCCACTTGGAACCACTTTACCGACTCCAAGAATTTTTCATCGGCCATGTCGGATCTCGCTAATAGTTTATGGTGCAACCCTCCTGTTGACTTTTCCAAGAGTTCATTAGCCAGAGAGTTCATTAGCCATCGACATATTTTTGTTTCACCAACACACTTTGCATCAAAAACTGTCAACCAATGTCGTGCGCATTTCCGTGAACCTAGCTTACGCAATAATCCATCCTCTTCCATGGCATCTCTACGAGTAGCAATCAATGCATGAGGACACACATCTCCTCAAATTTACAGAGAGATCACGATCATCTCCTTCGCCACACAAGGAGACTCCACATTGGCAGGCAACAACGTTAGAGTTTCTAGCCGAATGCAGCTGCCAACCGTTCGGCAATCCTTCTTCACGTGTTCCAGTTTGATCACAGCCCAGCAGGACAACGCTTCCTCTTTCCGGAAGCTTTGATTGCTTTTTTCTGGGTACCGCTCGACAAATAAAGCGCGTGAATCCTCATTACAGTTTATTTTTCATTTCCAAATTCAGTCTTCTCTCCTCAGTTAAGGAGCTTACTAACCACATACACCACTTCTGTACTACCATAATTTCAGAACCAGGTTTCATATGCTGCATATGTGAGGGAGGAAGTGACGAGGATTGAGTAGGGGAGATCTTCTTATCTTGCGAGATCGTGTTCGATTTTTTGCACTCCAAAAAGAGTTTCTAATTCAGAGAACGATGCCCGTCAAGACACTGCGCAAGGCGTGATCCTGACAGCTTTGTACCTTCCGCCATTTTCAACGTATAAAATTCTCCTTCAAATATAACCTGTTGGATATATTTTTTCCCCTATATATTTTTTCCCTGGTACAATTCTTCCAGTTTCTCCCACAACTCTTTTGTCGTGGACAATCCAAGCACATTAGTAAGAACATTTTTTGCTAGACACATACTAATTTGACTTGCCGCTTTGATATCCAGCTCCTTCCATTCTTTATCGCTAATCTTGG